CAAACGTGCTGCTTAAATCAATTGTACACTCTAATAATCGATCCGAAATCCAAGCATTAGCCAAGGCAAACAGCTTCAATTAATCCAATAACTTCTGCGCCTCTCTGATTGAGATAAATTCCGGCGCATTCACTGCCTCACATTCATCTTCTTTGCGAAGTATAGCTTGATTCGAAATGAATTCATCTAATGACTTAAACAGGGACTTGATACAAAAATTTTAAACAACCCACTTCTTCATCATCAAATTCTAAACAGGCGATTTCTTCTTCAAAAAGACGGTCATCAATAGACACAATGAGTGAAGTCCTCAATCAGATCGCATTTATCCCCTAGTGGCTGCATCACTGGCTGAATCACAGCAGATTAGAACCCAGCTTTCATGAAAGCGTCGATAAGTACGTATGAATGCATAGACACCCAAGCTTTCTTGACCAGATGGAGATGGAGCCAACGGGTTAGTAATCTGGAGATAAACCGTCGTGTGTTTGGGAAGTTATCTGGGACAAATTTTCTAATGCATCGAATTCACATCAGTAAGCTTCGCTGTTTAGGACACGTAAGGAGCACGCCCAACTGCGGTCTACGACATCGCACCTAATTGGCTGTAGCCGCTCTAATATTGAGGAAACCACATGGAGGTCAACAGATTTTGTCATTCACAGTTATGACCTTCGGTTTCGCAACGGTAAAAAATGCTTAAACGGTATGGGAACAACTGAAGAAACTCTGGAGCATTACAGAATTTCCTACAAAAATCCATCATGTACCACGCCAAACCACAAAGAACAACTGGTGCAAACCGGGTCACACGTTATTCGCCTATTGTAAAATAGACGCTGAAAATCACCCATGGTATATCAATCCACAGAACCTTCCACCGCAAATAGAAGCCTAATAAACTGGTGATAGTTAAAATACACAAGCTACGTGAGCATTTCACGAAAACCAACCGACGGCTACGATCGTGCTATAAAAGTCGAATGGAACTGTGTGAGGCGGCAGATTCAAACAACTCACTTTTGACGTGGATGAATCCTGTAATTCAGGGAGCAGATGTAGGCATGCACATACACTAGAAATCAACGAGTAACATGCGACGCAATGAAAAAGAAGATATGAATAAAATCATTATTACCTAACCAAACGCGCTGTGGTGACTCCTAACAAACTTCCGATGTTGATCTGAATATTCAACTTCAACTTTCAGTTTTACCAACCATTAACCATCCATTTTCATACGCCAATTTTGGTTGCTGTCCCTTGGCTACTCATTTGGATCAAAGAGCAGAATGGAGATCGAA